CTCCTCAGCCTGTGCTGCACTCCCAGAAGCAGCCAGCAGCAGATTCCCAGCCAATGGGAGTGCAGAGCTCGCGCTCAGGGCAGGGGCAGTGCACAGAGCCTTGTGCGCTCTGCCCTCCCCCAACCTCAGAGCTGGGCCTGTTGCCGGCCGCTTCTGGGGCGCAGCGCAGTCTGTGGCACCAGAACAGGCAGGGAGCTGCCTTAGCACCCCTACTAGTCACCTGATTCCCCTGCAGCACCGAAACACAGCACCCAACATTCCCCCACCCAGAACTGGGTGGTGACCTGCCACAGGCCTAGATAAAGGTAAAACACAGGCCTGCCCTAGACAAAGCAATCTGGGTTTACCTCAAATTACACATTAGGAGCACACAAAACTATTGAGTGAAACCAGTAGGGGTTATCCTCTTTCTGAATTGGAGACACAGAAAATTAACATGGTCCTGCAATGGACACAGGATACTGAGTCCCCATGGGTACCTTCCTGCCTGTGAAAAAGACAAACCTGTGGGAAATATAAGGGACACAATGATATTCTATCCTTCTATTCCCCTTTATTTGGCTCTGGTGAGGCCACACCTGGGCTACGTCTACACTACAAGCCTCTTTCAAAAGAGAGCATCTACCAGTGTTTCTCAACCTTTTTTTGCTCATGGCCCCCTTCTGAGCCTTGTTTACCTTTGTGGCCCCCTTCATAGCTGCTGTTAGTTGGAAAATAAGGTACATAATTTACCTAATGGTCCATTTATTCCATGTGACCCCCTAGAGGTAAGGTGTGACCCCTGGGGAGCCATATGGCCCACGGTTGAGAACCATTGATCTAGACTACAAGCAGATTTTTCGAAAAAGCGAGACACTTTTTCGAAAGAGAGTCTAGATGCTCTTTTGAAAAAGCACAGTTTGCATTCAATAGCGCCTTTTTTCAAAAGAGTACTTTTGAAAAAAGGCATTATTCCTCATAAAATGGGGTTTACCATGATCAAAAAAACTGCCGCGTTCTTTCGATTCACTTTAGAAAGAATGCCGCTGCAGTCTAGATGCAGGTGAAGTTTTTTTTTAAAAGGCTGCTTTTTTCGAAAAAACCTGTAGTCTAGACACGCTCGTGGAGTATTGTGTCCAGTTCTGGGCCCCCCACTATAGAAAAGATGTGGACGCATTGGAGAGAGTGCAGCAGAAGGCAACCAAAATGCTTAGGGGGCTGGAGCACATGACCTCTGAGGAAAGGCTGAAGGATTTGGGTTTGTTTAGTCTGCAGAAGAGAAGAGTGAGGAGGGATTTGATAGCAGCCTTCAACTCCCTGAAGGGAGGTTCCAAAGAGGATGGAGAGAGGCTGTTCTCAGTAGTGACAGATGGCAGAACAAGGAGCAATGGGCTCAAGTTACAGTGGGAGAGGTCTAGGTTGGACATTAGGAAAAAATATTTCCGGAGGAGGGTGCTGAGTGTAATTCTTGCTTCTTTTTCAATAAACTTGTTTTACTTTTACTCAGGAACGGAAGGGTACATTTACCCCAGTTGCGTTCATAAACGGTGATGCAGTAACTCAATAAAAGAGCAGTGAACTTAATATCATCTGTGACTGCAAAGCAATGTCTCCGAGGAGCTCCAGGGCTGGAGTTGGTTCATTGATTGTTTCCTGCTAGATGAGATTTGGTTCCAGAGAGCCTAGAGGGGTTTCCTGGTGCAAAAGATAGGCTGGTTTGGCAGAGAGCTGACCCCAAGTCTAATCACCAGCAAAACACTCTCTTGCTGAGCCAGCAGTGTGTTACAAGCACATAAGGGGCTTTATAAAGTATACAAACTACTTTTTAGGTTCAATTTGCTGCTGAAGTTCAGCTTCGACTTCCTCTAAGGCATACAAATATCAACACTTGTACTAGCACAAATTAGGTGGCTGGTTGCCCGCATGCTGATATTTGTGCATACCGTTTTTTATCGGTGCACAAAAATTACAGACGCTACTTGTGCCCACAACATGGAAGTCAGATTTTGGAAAACACGCATCTTAGTAACAAAAGAATTCCCACCAGGTACCACCGTTTTACTCCAAAAACTAGTCAAACACATTTGTATTTACTCCAAAAACTAGTCAAACACATTTGTACTCACTAAGGGTATGTCTATAGTTCGAACTAGGAACTAGGGTGACCAAAATTGCAAATGAAGTGCGGGATTTACATATCCCGCACTTCATTAGCATGTTCCCGGGCGGTCGCCATTTTGGAAATTGACTAGCCCGGAATAACTGCCCGCGTCTACATGTGGCAGTGAAATGGGAGTTCAAAGTAAAGCCCTAACTCGAATTAACTGCTATTCCCCATGGAATGAGGTTTAACAGCTAATTCGAATTAAGGGCTTTCCTTCGAACTCCCGTTTCACTGCCATGTGTAATTATTCCAGGCTAGTCAAGTGCCAAAATGGCGACCACCCGGGAACATGCTAACGAAGCACAGGATATGTAAATCCCGCTCTTCATTTGCAATTTTGGCCACCCTCATTAGCCTCCCTAGTTCTAACTAGGGGGCTAGTGTAGACATACCCTAAGAGCAACAGATGAAGAGAAAGATGGATTTTCTATGCCAAGCCAACAAGCTACAGTGAGCTAAAAATAAGTTAGGAAAATCACCCCAGAACTGAAGCCACTGAAGTACTGACCCAATTACACTGTCTTCTTCAACTTGCTCCAAACTTTCCAGACAAAAATGTCGATCTTGACCTAAGATTATACGTGTGAAATTTCAGAGATTGGCTCAGTTCTGGTGAAATTAATTAACACAGTGTGTGTGTGTGTGTGTGTGTGTGTGTCAACCTTAACTATATATTGACCAGCATAAAATCAGATGGTGGAACCTAGATCTTGATACATATAAACAGTAATCAAGCCGTTATTCTGACAGGTGAAAGGCTTAAACTATACGAGTCCATTTCAGCGACAAGCACTCTGTTTCTAAGAAGCATACGGAAGTATCTCATCTCTGGTATAGCTTGACGTCCTCGTAGGTGGAAATGCACTGAGAAGACCTGGAGACCATCAAAATGTCACAAGAGGCAAGAGAACGAGAATGGAGTCTTCAGAATTTCTACTACAGAGATAATGGAGGAAATCGTGGCTCCATAAATATCAATGGGAAAACTGCATTTGACTTCAGTGCAATCAGGATGTCACTCAATAAGGCTGGCAAATTCCTTATGATGAAATTTACAAGATCCCAGTTGTTGGCCCAGGTATTATCTTTCAGCTCCATGAGTTTTTCTGTGTGTCTGGAATGGTGCTACACTTAAAACAGAATTTAACTCCATAGAAATGCCTTGAGAATAACAGGACTTTGCTATTTTGGTATAGTTGGAATTTCATCATAACCAAACCTCCTGCAAATGCCAATCTATCCCCACAGTATATTCCTTCTCACTTTTTCAGGAGCGGAGTTGACTGAGGAAATGTTTCAGCTCAGTGCCTGAAATTGTGATGTTTCTGTGCCCCTGAAAATGTATCTTTTTGTGAATTTGCTATTTTCAGAAAAAAATTCACTGTTCTCTACACAGGAGCCCAGCTATGAGCAAGAGAAGTTTTGATTGTGATCTAAATTGAATTAGGAGTATCTCCTGAAGTCCTGCATGGAGACTTATTTGATCGGGGGCATTCCACAATCTGATCTGCGTTTTCCTCATCATTAAGGTGGTTATTATGATCTCAGATTGTGATCTACTGAGCAGTCCCCAGCTAAAAGTTTGGCATTAGCTTGAGGTGGGGGTTAGGTTTCCTCACAATAATCAGGGAATCGACTCCATCTTATTTTAACAGAGGCTTTGTGGCTCCATGTCAATGCATAGCCTTGAAAACATACTCCTAGTATTATCAGTGGCAAAGTACTAATTCATTGTTTCTCTGACAACTTTTTTTCTTGCACAGGGTTTGTGACATAAAAGTTCCATGTTGCATCCCTTATGCTGTAGGACCTCTTCTGAAAAGGGTCTTGCATGATTTTATCATGTGTACTCGATTTTGACCCAGGAATAACACGAGGTCACTAATTTTTAAGGAGTCATGCAAAGATAGTAATGTTATATTTTCAAAGGTCGGAGGCTGATGCCTGTCATAATAAGTTGAATTAATTTTTTTCCTAGGCTATCAACAGCACAATATATTATTACTGGTCACACAATCAGCAGCCTCAAGTTGTATTCTTTGGCAAAGCAAAGGACACACTATTTGTTAGTCTATTAAGGATATGTGTCTAATGCACCTTAGGAAAGAACTAGGCTCTTTCTAGGACATTCTGATTCATGCGTGGATGGGAAATCCCTCGTGAAAGAAAAACTAAACTATATACTATTACTGTAGGATACAACTGAAAGAGAAGCTACTGTCTGGAAATAAAGTCTAGCTTGTGTTACTGAAATGCTGGAAAATACAAAAACTGATATGAAAGTGTATTCACGGCCAGAGAAGAAAAAAAAACTGGCAAGTAGAGGCGTAAGGTTTATCCCATGAAGAGTTAAAAGTTGTGCTTCAAAGCAAGTCTTTACTACTGAGCTATGAGGGCACATGTTCTCAGAAATAAAAACGTATGTGTTGGGTATAGATGCTACTGCAACAGAGGTATGGCATTTTCCTTAGCTTAACGGAAAATCCGTCTTCTAATTTCTTAAAATCACAAGCACACGGTAAAGATTTTTTGAAAACATTCCTTTCAAAATGACTCCTGAATACTTTACCCATGGGAACTGGACAGTTCCAATCAGTATAGTTCTCATTACTTTAAAATCACCTGCATGGAAATTTAACTACCTGCAAGCTGGATGATCACTATTTAATCAAACACAGCAAGCCTTGAGGCTAACAACTGTTACATGTTTTGATGTACTTGTGAATATTCATTCTCTGAGCACCACACCAGCATTTTTTGCTGTATAAACAGGCCAATACCAAGTGACTTTGAAAGTCCCCCCACCAAAGTTCATCTAGCATGCGAGTAGTGAATAAATACTAAGGATCACTCATACCTTAAACTCCTCCAAGATTTTGTAATTTTTCCCATGATATTCACAAAAATTTTTCACTTCTTTGCACTCCGGGCAACATCCATTGTGTTCCACTTTAGTACACTTTGGGTGGATTTTAGGACATTCGGGTTGATCACAAACAGGCCCATCCTCAGTACAGACACAAGGGCAGTTGGAATGCCCTGGGAAAAAACGTTCTCCCAGTTTGTATACAAAGCCACTGTCATCCACACAGCCTTTCCCTCGATAGTCGTCAAAGATCAGATTGTCATTACTGGAGGTCTGGTCGCCTTCATCGGCAGGGTAGTCTTCATGATTGATGGCAGCTGGGGTGACCAACCCAGGTATTAGTAACAGAAGTAGGCATGCTTCTTGGATATGACAAGCCATCCCCCTCCTCAACTTCCATATACGGTCCTAATCTCAGATAGAAACAGCTGCTTCCATAGGGGTACCAGAGGAGTGGTCTGAAAACAAATAGTTAAAATAAGAATAACTTGAAATAGTCACAAAAGCAGACATAGGAAGACCACACTTTCAACCCGCACCAGTGGTTTCAAAACATGCAGACGTTAAAAACTGTTTAATCTGAAAGCAGTTTTTTCTCCTCAGTTATTCCTAAGAAAAACAACACATGCTACATAGGGCCAATAAAGCGAGCATTTGTATAGATGTAGAGAGAGACAAATGTACACATACAGTTCATGCATACAAGGGCCTATAGAAAATCTCCAATCAAATGCTGGTTTATCATGATGCCTAATGTTTGCTTTTTCTTATTTGGAAAATATTGGTCATTGGAAACACAAAGAAATGAAATAATGCCTGAAATTGAAATAGTAAGTAGGCAGTTCACTGGCACAGAACTTGGGATCAAAACAGTTCCTTTCTTTTTTGGTGTAACCACTACCTACTCTTTTCTACAATGCATGGCTCAGTTTCTTAAAATCAAGAGGATAAAAAGGCCAGAGAAGCTTTATCAGACAAAATCACAGAAGGTAAAACAAGAATTATATGGGCTTTAGTCTGATCTGAGCTTCCCATATGAAAAACAAAACAAAACAAAACCCTGTATCTTATATAGGCTTAGAGAGTTAGAATTCCTCAGTGTTTTAAATATGGTATTTTTACAGAGCAAGGTAAAGAGGCTGGGCTGGTAACATCTGTCAAGCCTGTAGGTTTCTTCTCCTTCTTCTGTAGTGTAATTGTCCTTATTTGGCATTTCTAGACACTGACATTTTTCAGGGCAGCAGTTTTCAGACTTATATTAATGTCCAGCGAGGAGTTCATAGATCAGTATTTTAAAATGTCTGGCATGTACACGGCATTACCATAATAGATTTGTCTCATTAGGTTAGTGACAGTCTCCATGCTAAAACTTAGTATGCCAGCACAGCTACATAGAACAGCCAGCGGATTTGGCAATGGAGAATAATATTTAAATGGGCAAGGTAATGATTGACAGATTGGAAAAGGAAGGAAAGCCCATCCCTATCCCAGGAAAGAGCACTCCACATATGATTTGCTGTTACTTTATTGTCTGTGTTGTGTGTCACACCACTGTCATCAAGGTGTGCATTTTCAATCCTTTTCTAAATGCCAGTTGGACTTCAGTGTAATGCCAGCAGAAAAAGGGTCTCTTGCTGGTTTTCTGATAATGGGGCAAGGAACGGTCATCCTAGAGTGAAAAGTATTTGCAGGAAACTTTTTAGTAACTGGAATATTAGTTTTATGTTTATTACTAGTCAGGTATGGATTGCCTGCTAATAGCATACACAGGACTACTTGAATAAATAAAATTATGAGCATTTGAACACAGACACAACCAACCCCTCCCCCATCAATACACACATACTTATAGAGATCTGTTTCCTCTTCCTCCTCCCCAAAGAGACATTTCCTGTCGACTCAGATTATATTAAAAATCTGTCAAAAAGAATGAATCAGGAGGAAGCTATAATCTCACAAGATAAGCTAACGGATCCTGCTAAGCAAGACAGTTTTCCCAAAACTGCTACAGAGGGAGACACCGGATATTACACACGCTTTGTCAAAATCAAAAGATATCCTCTTAATTGAAGTGCTAGCTATGTTTTTATCACAAGGGTAAGGCACTGAAATACTGCCAGCCACAGCTGTTGTAGCATGCTGTGTTGTTGTTTTTTCTAAGTGGGATGCACCCAGCTACGTCTGCATTAGAGATTTGGAGAGTAAAGAGTTTTGCTCACCTACCAAGCCACAGGTAGGCATCAATTTTCTATGGTCAGGCAAGTGAAGATTTACGAAAAAAAAAGAGCAACTGGGAAACAGATATTTGAGGTAATGTGCAATGAGCCAAGCAGCCCAATGAAGCTACCCCAAGTTTGATGGCCAGGCACTCAGTAGCAAAGCATTATAAATCAGTGCTGGTGTGGGCTAATCTTAGCTACCACACACCAATTCCAAAGACCCAGTCTAACGAATGGGAAGGAAACTGACCCGACTGCAGCTTCGTTCTCGGGAAGCGGGTCCCCAAGTAAACAAACCCGGCTCAGCTACGGATTAGTGAGCAGCTCAACTTTCCCATCCTTGCTCATGCCCAGCGATGGGTCCGACCCTGCGAGCAAGCCAGGTCTCCCCCCGAGTCATTGCTACTCACCTCGCAGGCTGGGGAAAAGCTGCCGGGGGTCACAGGCCAGCCTGGATGGAACGGCTGGGCGATCTGTTAGCACTAGCAGCACATCACACGTCCAGCGCCGGCTCCCGGAGCATCCCTGCCCATGTCCCAGCCCGGAGCAGCCGCCGCCACCGGAGAAA